TGCAACCATTAGCTGAATGTACTATTAATAAAATCCTGGGTCACAAGTACTCACCTTAATATTTAAAAAAAAAAAAATTTAGTATTATAAAAAAGACTAAAATGACTCTTAGAAGTGATATATCTTATTCTTTTAATTACAAATAAAAAGTCTCAATACATTATATATTAAATACTAATATTATTTTTTTTAAATATTAATGGTGAGGCCATGCCTTTAACTTTATTGAAATACTAATATTATTATTATGATAGATCTATAAAACTTATATAACTATTATTGTTTATTCAAGTTCTTTATTATATAACTTATCTTACTTGTATTATTGACTTAAAGTAACTAAAAGTTTTAATTACCAATTAGTCAAATCTAATATCATCTTTTATAAAGGTTACTTATTATATGTTATATAAAAATTTGTATTGTAAAGTAATTAAATCACAATCTTCTGAATCCAATACTATTAAGAGGTTTTATTTTTTTAGAAAAATTAACATAATTTGTAATTATAATTATTTTATTTTTGTTATTTTTATTTAATTGTTTATTAGAAAGAAATTATTAATATAATCTAATTAATTTATTATATAAGTTGGTGTTAATAGTAATGTTAATATTTTTTTTATTAATTTATATATATAACTATATTTTAAGCAAGTATTATTAATATTTTAAAGTACTAGTATATATAACTTATCTTTTTAAAATTTTAATAAATATTTAAAATTAAAGCTTAAATTAGTATTAATATAATTAATAGATGACAATTTATACACAATAAACTAGTAGTACAAAGTAGATTTTTAGCATAGTATAGTATATTATATTATTAGTAGTTATTATATATTTATTATTATATTTTATATTATATTTATTATTAGTTATTAGCATAGTTATATTATAGTATATAGTAGTTAGATAATAGGATCTTAATTGGCTGTTAAAAGTGTGATACAGGCACATGACATTGAGTAACATCTATGATGTCACTATTGTTTTACAAACTTCAAGTATCCCTACACAAGTTTTATATATCTTAGTACAATTTACTGTATTAAATAACATAGTACAAGAATCTCAAGTATCTCTTCCATAATCCTCAAGTATTCTTGCACAATTCCAAGTATTCCAACACAATCTTCAGATGTCCCTGCACAATCTTAAGTGTTCTTACACAAACCCAAGTACCTTGACATATGCCCTAAGTGTTTCAAGTACAAATAACAAATATATATATATATTGTTCTAACTATTCCTGTACAAACTTCACTTGTCTCTGCACAATTCCCACTATCCCAAGTACAGTATTAAGAGATGTCACTCAAACTCCCACTACCCCTACTAGGTAAAAAGATATATAAAGAGTACCTTTTCCTCTTCTCTGTCAATTCTAAGTTTCTATACTTCAACCTAGACATAATGACCTTTTAATTATAAAGTGTAATATTCTCTCTCTAGAGTACCGTAAAAGTCAGATACGTATACCCCCTATGCAGTGTACCCCTTATCAGTTTGAAACGCCTGATCATGATTTATACCTGGGTATTATATATATCTTCTAATTATACAACATTACGCACTACATATAATATAGACAAAATATAAGTGTGATGCTATAATTATTGTAATTATAATAAATTATGATATTTTTTGTCGTAATTCATTATAATTACGATCAATTATGGCATTGTGCTCATACTCCTAGTTTGGTTCACCGGCAAAATAAAGATAACAAGATTAAAACCTATTTATTGATTCAACGATGTAATTTAATATAGCAAACAACAATGTAATTTAATATAGCAAACACAATTTTAATTTATAATGTATCACAAGTATCATTTTTTATTCCATTACTAATATAGTACACTACTTCATATCAAACATTAATAAAATACACATATTGCATTTGATAGTAAGCAAACTTTATACAGCAAATAAATCAGTTTTATTTAAAACAAAAAAAAAATTGAAATTTGATCATTATTCCCAATTATTATCACCTCCAGTTTCTTCATACTCTTCACTATTAATATTATCAAGCTCCTCAATACTTTCTTCATTCGCATTTTTCAAATCTTCACCCAAAGCTTCATAGTCAAACACTAAATCATCTTCAGACCCGTCCATTTCTACTGAGATACCGCAACACTTAAACGACTTTTTAATTAAACAAGGACTAATCTCATCCCATGATTCTTTTACCCATTGAGCTAAAGTGGAATATGATGGCTTTCGAATACGTCCAGCAGGTGTAAATTGATGAGGGTTGTTGATCATCTATTGGTTATAACGAAAACACACCTATTATTTAAATTGTTATTAATGTACTCTATAAATAATAAATATTTTAATACACTATACCTTTTCCTTAAAACATTTGTTTATTGCAACATCAAGAGGTTGCAATTTACTGGTTAATTCACTTGGAATAACCACAGTATAAGTATTGTTTTCATGAAATTGATGTTTAACAAGGTCTACAGTATGACCTCTAAACGAATCCAAAATAAGGAGAGATTGGGGGCTTTCTAATTCACTGCGCTTAGACCACACATTATTGATCCAATATTTCATTTCCTCTTCATTGCACCATCCTTTTCTATTCACACGAATAACAACACCTTCAGGAAAAATTTCACGGGGAATGTTCTTTAATTTAAAAATGCATACTGCTGGAAGCTTTCTTTCATCAGCAAAACATCCCAAAATTACAGTAAAGGAGGTCTTTTCATTTCCAGTTGTCCAAATGCTTACTGTTTTGGCCCCACGTTTCTTGAGAGTTACTGGGTAAGGCAAGTCAAATGCCAAAGATGTTTCATTCATATTTCCAATATATTGGATATTATAATTGTATTGACGGTGTTTAAACAAAACTAAGCTTAAAAACTCATTTTGTTTGTCGATAAGATCTTCAGGGAGGTGTTGCGAAATTGTTGTGAGCCGGTGATTTGATAACTCATTACAATACAAAAATCCACAGAGCCAACTATTAGAAAACTTAAGATCATTAATATTAGGATATACATCCTTTATCTCATTAGTTTGAGCCAATTTTTTCACCTATCTAATAACCATATTTTGTGTAACGGCCACCTGTTTTCTACAAAGCACATCAACCCATTCAACTAGCCTTCTTTCTAAAAGGGGATACAGAGCTAGTCGGCCAGGATTGAGTGTTAAAAGATAAGGTGCTGCATTTAAAAGTTCTTGCTTCTTACTTCGCCAGTCACGAACTTGTTTAGGTTCAATATCAAATCGCCTTGCAGTTGCTCTTACATTTTTAATACATTCAAAATAATAAACCACCATAAGTTTTTTGCGAACACTCCAGTTACACCGAACCTTCTTACTAATAGCATGAGTTTTTTTTTAATATTTCTATTTCGTGAAGATATTTTTTTTTAATGCGTTCAAGAGAATTAGTGTAGTTTAAGTTTTTATTTAGGGAGAATGTTGCACAACATATGTAGTGATATTTCAGAGAACTTACATTTTTAAAAAGAAAAAATTCAAACCCAATTACCAAGCCGTTAGGATAGAACCCTAGAGCCAATGTCCTGCTCAAGGCAATTGGGCACGTCTTCATACAGTTCATTCATGTTCAAAACAATAAATTCAAAGAGAAAAAATTACACAGGCAGTAAAATCAAAAAAAAATTTGATTTAGAAAAAAAAGTCCAAACCCAATTACCGAGCTGTTAGGGTACAACCCTAGAGCCGATGTCTTGCTCAAGGCAATTAGGCACATTTTCATACAGTTCATTCATGTTCATAGCAATGAATTTAAAGAAAAAAATACATGAGCAATAAAATCAAAAATGATTTGAAAAAAAAAGTCCAAACCCAATTGCCGAGCTGTTAGGGTAAAACCCTAGAGCCAATGTCTTTCTCAAGACAATTAGGCACATTTTCATACAGTTCATTCATGTTCATAACAATGAATTTAAAGAAAAAAAATACACAGGCAGTAAAATCAAAATGATTTGAAAAAAAAGTCCAAACCCAATTGCTGAGCCGTTAGAGTAAAACCCTAGAGCCAATGTCTTGCTTAAGGCAATTTGGGCACACCTTCAAACAGTTAACATTTATGACAATGGATTCAATAAAAAAAATCCAAACCCAATTACCAAGCCGTTAGGGTATTACCCTAGAGCTGATGTCCTGCTCAAGGCAATTGGGCACATTCTCAAATATGAGCAAACAGTTTAAGAAACGACTAAAAGAACATTAATATTTGACACACTTGATACTTTTAGAGAAATGCTTTAAATACCCTTTTTTTTTTCCAAGAATTTTTATCACTGCAATTTACTGCTTCAATCATATGAATGGCGTCAGAGTGCTATCATGGGAAAATGTGACACCGGGCTTTCAAGTTTATCATTGACTATTTATTAGATTCAGCCTATAAAAAATCTGATCGATGATATAATACATATCTTATGCATTACTAATCAGATTTTTTATGAGTTGAATCTGATGAATAATCAATAGTAAACTTGAAAGCCTGATATCACATTGTCTTTTGGTAAAGTATATGAAAATATAATAGCGGTGGAAGTTCAATCAACTACTTACCCCCGACTTGTGTACCCTCATCAATACGGCGTACCCCCCTCCGTATAGAGGTACTCTGGATACAGAATCGAGCAATAAAAATACCCAGGATACACATGTCCGACTTTTACGGTAATTCCTACAAGCAAGGTTGTTACCATATGTGTTGTTGTTTTTTTTTGATATTAAGGTGAGGCCTTGCTTATATCTACTATATATGTTGTTAATAAAAAGTTAATCTATATACTGTTATTATCTTGAACTGTTTGTCTGCTGCTATGTAGTAAAGTGAACTACTACACCTTCACCCTATATATATTTGCAATAGTCAATTACTGTACTAAGTAATCTTGTTACTTAATTGTATTGTACCAAGAAGGCTACAACCCTGTAACAATATTAGTTTAGTTTCAGTTAATTCTACTGATATATTTTCTTTAACATTTTTTCTTCTGTTTTTTTCTTTACCTCTGTAAAGTAATTTATTTTTGATGCTGTTCTATATTAAGTTTTTTAATTTGACCTATTATTACTTTAATTTTTGTGCTTAATATAGTTTTATTATTAATTGTTTATTGTTTTTTTTTGTTATATGTTATTGTTAAGATTTTTTTTCATTAAAGTTTCTTTTTACTTTTTTATTTTTTATTTTTTTTTTTGTATTTTCTCTTTACTTATATCTATTGTATATTTAACTAAGACTGGGTTAAGGTTTGTTATTTTTATTTTGTTAGTCTATTTTTTAATAACTTTTTAAGTTAAGTTATTATTATTTTTGTATTAAATTTTAAAGCTTCAAGTATTTAACTATATAGTGTTAAATCTTTTGTTATAATATTTTTGGATTATTAATTGCTAGTTTTTTTAGCTATAATGTTAATATCACTTGGATCTTTATATATAATTGTTCTTAGTACTTGATCTAACTTACAACTATTTAAATATTTACAAACTATATTATCTGTTTCTTGTATATATTAAATTAAAAATTAATCATAAGATATTTTTATTTTGAGTCATATATCTGTTTTTAGACTATTTTATTAATGTTTACTAATTTTAAAATCTTTTACAATTTGTTTGTTTGTTAAATTTGTTAATATGTTTTTATTTTTTAAATGAAATATATTTGCTTTATATATTTTGTTTACTAGTAATTATTGTTTTATATCATATATCTATTTATTATTATTTAGAGTTTAAGTCAAATTCTTAAATTTTTTTAAAAAAATTTTTTTTTCTAATGTAAAGAAAAACCTATTTTGGGTCTATTCTTTTAAATTGCTGTTCTAACTAAATATATTTTTTTAAAAAAAAATTATTTCTTAGTTGTTTAACTAGTTATATTTATTTTAGTTTTTTAGTTTTCTTTATATTCTTTGTTTTTGCTTTTTTGGAAATATAAATCAATAGAAAAATTTTGAAATAGTAATAATAATTTATAATTAACATACTTTTGAAAAAGTTTGAAATTAACTAAAAAATACATTGCATAATAAGAAAAAATAATATAAAAAGAAGTGTTTTATAAAATATGTATTAAACAAACTTTCAACCTTAAAAAAACTTAATAAAAAAAAACTAGAAATATATACAATTGCAAAATATCAAGTTTGTTAAAGTAAAGTCAATATAAAATTAAAAAAACACAAAAGCATTTGATATTATATAAGAGATAAGCAAATTTTTAAAAAAGGATACAAAAAATATTTATTGCAATAGCATAAAAAAAATCAAAAAATAATCTAAATCTTATTTTATATATTATATATAATATTTTTTAAAAAAATATAAATAGACAAAATAAAAATAAGAAAAATACTAATTAAGAACCTAATTTTAAAAGTGACTTAAGACAGATTAGTATAACTTCTGAGTACAAAGACAAGACAACAATTTATAAATATAATAACAGAAACTGTTTGAAATATCTTTTATAAGCAAGTTTAAAGAATACATTATAAAAAGCTTAATATATAGAAAAAAAATAGAAATAATTAACAAAATAAAAATAAAATTCAAAAAAAAAAGAATTCAAACAAGAAGAAAAAGACTAATTAGCAAAAGATAAAAAAAAATAAAAATAAAAATAAAAAATAAATTGAAAATAAAGTTAGAAAGACAATGTTAAAACTTGTAAAAAAAAAAAGACTTTTTTATTATAAACTTTAAGTAGTTAAACAAGTAGCTTACTTTTTTTTAAAGTAATAAAACAGGTTATACTTAGATGCTATTAAAATGACTAAGTAATAATAAACTTAATTGTTAAATATATCTATATAATTGCAAAAGTAATTTTAAGAATTTTAATATAATACTAGCATAACTGCTTAAAAGAAAAAAATTTTGCATTAATCTATAATATGCAAAATATTTTTATATTTTAGAAAATGCTTTTTATATACTTACATATTTCTAAAACTAAAAATAATAATAAAAAAAGAAATAATCAAAATCTATAAAGAAAAAAAATTAAAATAATTATATTAAACAATTTAGTTCAAGAAATTTAAACCATTTATATGCTAAAAGGTTTTAATTAAGATTAGAACAAATAATTTATACAATCTAAAACTCTTAAAAAAGAAAGTAAATCTATTTTTTAATATTTATTATAGAATTATAAAAAAACTACATAAATGCATTTAAAAACTAAATATAAAATTTCTTAATATTATACCTTTTTTTTGTTAGTTTCTCTTAATACTAATACCAATTCTACTTCTATAACCCTATAGATTAACAATACATACCATATTTTAATAAATTTATACAATTTAACCATACTTTTTCTTTTACCAAATTTATAAACTAAAAGTCTTTTAATCATTCTAATTAAAAATAAATTAAAAATAAATTCATCCTAACCACTATTTTTTTAATTTAATATATTAATTTGTACTATATAATGTACTTAATTATATATTACTAAAATTAAAAACTAAAGAAAAAACCTCAAACAAAAATTTAACTAAAAGTTAAAACCAGTTTTAATATATAAATTTGTAAATTTTAGAATTTATTAAAATTTAATTAGATAAATTTTTAAAATATTACAAAATTCACGTGATAACAAATTATTAAAACCAGTTCCAATCTTTATATTACTTACTTTATAACCGTTAATAAAATTCTATTATTATATTTAATTTTGTAAATTAGTTAGTTAATTATAATATTATTAATGATTACTACTTGTAAAAAATACAAAATCTTTTAAACTATATATATACTAATAAATTTTACAATAAAACATATATAACGATTCTATTGATTTAAAAATGCTTTTATTAAATCCTAAATATAAAATAAAATTAGCAAATACTTTTAAATTGGTAATCAAAATAAAGTGTAAAATATATAAACCCAGTTTTATTAATTTCTCAAATGATTTAAACTTACCTTATTTTTAAATGTACGCTAATAGCTTTAAAAAAGCCTTAACAGTATACACTATATATTTAATTTGGTTTGTTATGTCACTAAAGAAAATTATTTATATTCAATAAAGATTATTTTTTAATCATCAGATAGCTCGTCGTCTGACCCCCCTGCCTCAAATTCATCATTTTCAGGTGCTTCAAAACTATATTCTTCTTCGTTGTTCACGTTCTCCAGGGACGCCTCTACACCCTGAGGAGCCACTGATACAGTCTCCGCTGATATATTTTGACTATATTCAGGTTTTAGATGATAACAATTGTTGTAATGACCTTTCTTGTCCAAAATTGCAATTTCATTCAACACCTCTTTGAGATAAGACTTTCATAATAATTTAAATTAATATTGATAAATCAAGAAAGAAGTTTCGTGTCACGATTATTATTACCTCCGGTTGCTTTACATAATCTTTAAGGCCTTTAAATGTCCAATATGCATATCTTTCAAAAGCACCAAAAAGTGAATCTATGAGCTCGTTCTTTGGTATACGTGTCGTCTTTTGTTCCATCGGAATTTTCGGTTTCTTTGGCTAAAATCAAAAACGGTTTATAAAGTGTAAACATACTAATATCCAAAAAGAAATACATACGACTAAGTTGCTGAATTTATTGACTGCGGACTGATCACCGGGAGGAACGTAAGCACCACGATTTTCGTTTTCCTCAAGAAACCTTATTGTTCTTTCAGGTTTTGCAGCCAGTAGCGTTCTTTCACGTAATTTCTTGCTATAATCAGCAGTTACGCTGGGTCTAATATTAAAATTTCCCGTTACAGTAGCCGATAATGATACAGCTAGCAGATAAGTAAATAAAAACAATAAAACAATTAAATCAAAAAGAATGACAACAATTTTCTTAAATGCCACATTGCCAATCAAAAAGGAGAAATGATTACAATTAATGTTTCGATCTTCACAAAAACAGTAGTTATTTTGTACTTGCTGTCCTATAACATCAAGTTCATATTCTTTAGGTATATCAGCATGTCTTTCGTGATCAGATAAGATAAGCTTGTACTAAAGAAATAAAATAAATATAAGTTTATTAATAATGTCTTTTTTCTCTAAGGGATACACACCTGATCAGGACCACCACTATTTAGAAATAGAAAAAAGCTTAAAAATTAATCAAATATAAGAATAACAAAATACTCTAAATTTTATTTACTATGGATCGGAGTAAACTTGAACCTTCGCAAGTTCAATATCGTCGTCATTTAAGTCGGCCCATTTTTCAAAGAGAAATAAAGGTAACTAGTTTTTTAAAGTTTTAGTGAGACAAATAGAACGCTATTAAAGAACTATCAAACATGCTAACAATACCTTTGCAATCCACGCTTCTTGCCTCACGCCGCTCATATCAAGATCGCCTTCATCTTCATCGTCATCAAACGCAATATCGGTTTGTTCAATATTTTGTTCTTCAAAAATTTCTTCCATCGTAATAGTAATCTAGATAATTACGTAATTAAAATAGCTTTGTGGTTTTTATACAACAAAATTGTCATAGATTTTGATTGGCTAATAGAGACGATCAAAGTTTAGACCGGAATTATTCAAAATTTTACTAAATGAAATCATAGCCACTTATTAAGTGAAAATTGTTCCTGGGCTAATTTACCATTGTGCGTAACTCATACAGGAGGTCATCAGATTTCGGGTCGAAATAAACTCCCCCAACACGGAAAATCTATGGACAGTTCAAGTTCACGTGATACTATTAAAAACCAATAACCCTAATAAAAAGCATATTTTTGATACTTTTATATCTACTTTTTGATACATCTAAAAATATTTTTGTTAGTAGTATATAGAATAGGTAGGTTAGTTAACAGGAAGGTGTCTGGAACTTTACAGTTAAGTGACATGTTTTGGAATAAGTAATGATTTGACAGACAGAAAAAAAAAGCTAAATATTAAGTTAAATAACATTTAGTTATATAGAAGTTAGGTATTATTCATTTGATGCAGTGAAACTAAAGAGTTTAAATAGATAATTTTTTTAGTAGATTACAGGTATAGTAGCTAGTATAGAATCTTTAAGTAAATTATTTAAAATAAGTAATTAAAAATTATTATTATTACTTTTTTAAATTAAAGTTTTTATTTTTAAAGAGCAACTTTTATATTTAAATTTGTAAAACACAAGTGCCTTCAGAGGTTTTCTTATATTGGAGATTACAACTAGTTACATATGCATTTTTGGTATCTAATTTAAGTAGTCTACCTATATACTATTATACAGATTCTATACTAGATATTATATTTGCAAGTTAATTATAAGTCTTGTCTATTTAAATTCTCTGTATATATAATTCTTTTGTATTATAAAAACATCTTAAAGCATTACTTATCTAAGTTCCTGATGTTTATCAGTAGTCTTAGAACTATTTTATCCTTAACAAAAAACTTACTAGAGTTTGTCATATTTTATATACTGCTAACTTAGTTTTATATAATATACTATAGTTAGTTAATACTTATAGTTATAGAGATTAGTTGTTTAACTATTATATTATATATTTTTAATTTTGTAAAGTTTATTAAAATTTCAGTATCTATTTTTCTAATGTCTTCTTTATTATTTTCTACTAATTACAACTTGAATTAACAAAACTTTTCACAAACAAATAACATTTTAACAGGCATTGCTTGAATTTTTGAAAAGGATACACAAATCAAATTTAATGCTTCTATAACTCATACATTAAACTTAACATGAGCAGAATTAGCAGTACTTATTCCTCTATTTCTCATTCTATCTGTCAATTATCAAATTCATATCCACTTAGACAGTTTATTTACTATTCAAACACTCTCCAATACACTACCCTACTATTACAAATTACAAACTAAACAAAATAATTAGGATATTATATATATACTCAATTATTTAATAAAACTCAAAAACATTAATTATACTATACACAAAGTTAAATTATATTCAAAAAATACTTTATACAATATAATTGATTCTTTTGCCAAATAAGGTGCCAACAAGACTAAATTAAAATTTAATTTTGATCACTTTTACCTATCTACTTATTTTTCTTGAAAAGAAATTCTAATCACATACAAACTATATAAATTCTATAAAAACTTAATTTCAATACAAACATTTAACAAACTTCTTTAACTCAAACCATTACAAAACCTTCTAACTATAAACATTCTATTATTAACTAAAATTATTAATTTCCAAAACTCCAATCTCAAACTATATTCTATTAAAAAC